TTTTTCTTCTTTTTTAAAAATCTGAGATAATTTTGATTTTTTTTCTTCCGTTTTCTTCTGGAATTCAAATGCCATGAATAATTTTGTCTACTTTTCTTTTGATACTTTTTTGAGTTTTTTTGTTTTGTTTTAGTTTTTCTCATATTTGTAAATGCTTATTTAATGATATTTAATTCAGGGTACAGTGTTATATTATGTTTATTCTTTTGTTTCATGATTGATTTTGAGAGAATTTTTATCCATTAAAATATGTTGATTCTCATTTTTATTTTTTTTTATAGTGACTTTGTATGGATATTACCTGCCATTTTCTGTCCTTCTCAATGTGATATTTCTAGGATCAGTAACAGGTGATGCTATCCAGGCAGGAGTGAGGAGTTGGAGGATCTTTCCATGCATATTTTTGTTCAGAACCGTCTACTTCTGTTAATATGATGTTCAGGTTTTTAAAAATATGGTGCTTTCTTGGATGTCTTTTGATCTTCTGATTTTCTTTCATTTTTTTTTAGGATCTTTAAATTCTACTGCTTGCTTTTTTCTTTTGGTTCACCATCAGATATCTAAAGTACACTTCTTTCGAAGACTCTTCCCTCTCTTCCCTAGGAAGTAATGCCTTCCAAAAACTGCTATTTGATGTGGGGAACAAAGGCAGAAGAAAAATTATTAAATTTCCATAACACTTAGAGCCCACTGACAAGTTCTTGAAACAGGCAGAGTGGTATCCCTCTAGAAATTCAGCTGCCTCGATGTTGACACTTTGCTAAGGGCAGAAGGCAGTTCTAGCCTGATCCCCCAACCCCCCATCCTGTAAGCCTACTTTAACATATAAAAATTCCTTTGGAAATTTCCTTTATCTCTAAACTCCCCAAGATACATGTTGGCAATCATCCCCCAACCATATGACCCACCAATATACATCTGAAGGATCTGAAGACTAAGATTTTATCAGTTATAAAGACCTTTTCCTAAGAATAGCTAGCCCAAGGTTCTGGAAACCTTGCTTCCAAATTCCTTAGAGACTTATGCTATCCCTAACCCCCTCCCAACCTGAAGGTATTTAATGAATGGGCCACTCCTCATGACCCCAGTGCAGCTATTTCTGCCCACGGGTCCTGTCCCCATGCTTTAATAAAATCACTTTTTGCACCAAAGATGTTTCAAGAATTCTTTCTTGGCCATGGGCTTCAAACCCTAACGTTCTTTCCTACATCACTATTCACATATACTTTTAAGTCCCCTGCCTTCTGTTCTATAGCCAGTTCTCTGACCTAACAGGTATTAGTATTTTCTCCCTAAGAGGAGAGGCTTTTTAAAATAATGATGATGATGATGATTGTATTTCTCTTCTTTTACCCCTTGGTGCACAGAGCTCTGTCCTGTTTTCTGCATAGTGTTTGCCTGAGTTTCTGGTTTACCTTGGACTCTGGAGCTGGTTTTGTTGGTATGGAATGTTTGTTTCCCTATACACATAAAAATTAAGTTTTATAGTATGTTTTGTCTTTTGGCTACACTACAGGCATGGATTACAGGTGATTCTGTTTGCTCTCTTTATTGAGCAACATGGTTTTTGGATAGTATATAAAGAGATTCTATTTCAAGTGGCCATTCGTATTCACCAGGAACCTAGAACTTTCTCTCCCACACTTTTTTTTTTTTTAAGATTTATTAATTTATTTGACAGAGAACACAAGCAGGGGGAGCAGCAGAAGGAGAGGGAGAGGCAAGCCTGACACAGGGCTGGATCCCAGGACCCTCCCAGGACCCTGAGATCATGACCCGAGCCGAAGGCAGATGCTTAACCAACTGAGCCACCCAGGTACCTCCCCCCCACATACTTTTTTTAAAAATAAAAAACACTAAAACATGAATATTTCTGGCATTAAGGAAGTAAGCAAGATGAGTCTAATAGTGCCTAATACCACCAGAAACAACTGCAGCTTTCATTGTCAAATTCAAAGAACATATGACTTTTTTTATTTTATATGCAAAAAAGGGGAGGGACTGTCTTCAAATAGAAGGATTTGGTATCTCAAGTACCTAACAGGAAATTTTATTTAGCACATACACTGTCCTCTGTGAAGACCACCAATACAAATCAAGATTCAGAATTATTGAAATATATAAAACATTAATGAAAGACCAATCTTGTAAAATGTTTCTGGATCTGAAGCAGCCTACAAAGTGGAGTAGGTTTGTCATGCAAAGAGAAATAATGAGGAAGTAATTTATTTTTGTTAACAATGGGGCGGTACTATATGCACATGTGAGCTTGGTGTCCTTGTGGATTATATTTTGTACTAATCTGTTAAGAAGAAAGAACAGTTTTCTCATGGGTTCAATCAAACTAAGAAGAATAAAGTTTTAAATTCTCTCAGTTCTGAACAGCCCAGTAGGGAAATCTAAGATTATGTCTCATTAACATGCATTTGAATTTTGGGGTAAAATTATCAGAGGACATTGAAATGCTTGAGAATTTGAAGGGATAAATGATGTAGCTTTTCTTGAAAGAATAATAGAACTTGTGGTGCACATAATAATTTCACTGCCTAAAAACAAAACACTGTATTTTTCAGCTTTTTAAGTGACTTTTAAAATATCACTAAACTTTAACTTGTCATTTTTCTTGGTTATATCTGTTGAAAATACAACATTGTAATTTATGTAACTATGAGATTTGAAGAATGAAATAGTTTAGGATATTGAGAGAGTTCCTCCTTAATATATATTTGATATTCCATAAAAACTCTACAGCTAACATCATGCTCAATGGTAATATCTAACACTTTCCCCCTACGAATAGGGATAAGGTAAGTACGCCATCTCACCACTTCTTAACATTGTACGGAAAGTTCCATCTAGAGCAAGAGACAAGTGAAATAATTAAAATGTGAAGAATTTATATATGGGAAAAAATGAAGCTTAATAAAGTTAAACAACTTATTAGTGGTCACACAAATAGTAAATAAATTGAAAATTTAGTGTTAGATTTTAGAATATGTGAAAAATATCATTCAGTCAAGTGTATTGAGGCACCAAAAAGGAAACAAGGGGTAACTGTATTAGCAAACATTAAATAGAAGCTAAGGAAGAGTTAAGTACCTTAAGTATAAATGGTCAGTCTTGAATGCCTCTAAATTAATTACATATGGACAGCCAGAACAAAGGGAGGTACCCTGTTTTCAAATAAACATTGCCAGTGACGACTGTGAATATGATTCTAAACACTTGAAAATCAGGTAGAGGCAGGCTATAATTTAACCCCTATGAGAAATATTATAGGTGAGTGTGAATTACCTTTATGTGTGTGAATCTATGTTGCATTCTATGAGAAACATAACTAGGTCAGACTAGATACCCTCCAATTCCTAAGAACAAGAGTGGAGCTTCTTAGAGGCAGATGTTAAAACTTTATTCCTCCCCATGGGTAGGGACTCAAGGTTTAAACAGGAGGTAAGGTTTCACAATGGGTACAAATCCATTTGGTTCTTTTAAACGGGGATTTTGAACCTGGAAAGGTTAGGTTACATTAGGCAAAGCACTTTTCACAAAATTATTCACAAAACCTGAAATGCTAAGGGATATGAGAGAACAGGGATGGAATATGAAAGTTTTATGTGTATTTTCTCACTTTCCCAGAATTACTATTTCCCAGAATTACTATTAGGGAAAGATAGGAGGACTGCTGAGAGATACTCCCTTTTAAAAAGCTTTTCTATAAACTTCTGAAATGATATTTTTAGAAGAAAAGTTCTGATTTTTTTTTTTGTGCTTATTTTACTTATGTATAAAGACTCATTTCAGGGATACTTTTTTACAGGGTGTGGGATTAAATTCAGATTTTTGAAAAGATGCAAGAAAAAGCTGTTGAGAGAAGAAAATAAAAAGAATGTAATTTTGGGGTCATAAAATTTTCTATATTTTAAAAGATTGTGATGTAGTTGCACTGTGATTAAAAAAAAAAGTCTATCCCTTAACATTGGGACTATTTTGAAGGAACAGAAACAGTTTTGAAAAGATCTATAACCTTTCATGTGGCAGTGGTAGCCACATTAAAGTGATTAATTTCTTTAAAGATAGAATAAAAATAAGATTTACATTGGCCTTGGTTTTGATGTGAATGTTAATACCAGTACAACGGAGTAGAATTATGTAAAATTTTAGTTCTTTTTAGCCTTCATTTATTTATTTAGTCTTTTTGCTGGAGTACTTAATAATTAATAAGGCTAATATTTTAATTGCTATTTGGTTCATCTCTCTGTGATATATATTGTACTTTTTTTCTCTTATATCTTTGAAACAATCCAACAATATCATGTGTATCATTATTCAAATATAATAGAGGCAAGTATTTTGTGTCTCCAAAGAGAAAAAGACCTTGTTGACAGGTGAGAACACTAGTTCTATGAAGTCTTTAAAAAATCATTAATTCAGGAGAAATTTGCTTTAAGGAAAATGAAATCAGAGCACAAAACATTGAAAACCTGAAATGCACAGTGTTAAACAGACTCACAAATTCATAACCTTACTTATTAGTTCAATTTTTCATAATGATATTAATTTTGGACCTCAGTCATGTCGATCATCAATGTTTATGCTATTTCTGTTTAACAGACATTTCTGTCTATCACAATGCACTATATAAGGCCCATTTCTTATAATTGAGCTTATCCTTTTGGGGCTATTTGAAATTTTATGCAACCATGGGGGAAGATGGACTCTCTGAGTTCTTAGCATTATGATATAGAGTAAGCATATTTCACACGACTCAGTACATAATGTTGACGGGGGATATTATATTATTATTTTATATTAGGGATGAAAATATCCACAAAAATTATTTCAAAACAGACCTTCAAAACTATAAAACATTTAGTTTCTATGTTGGTTTATTTGGAGGGAATAACACTTTTTATCTCGATGTTTTATGAAGAAACTAGTCCTACTTATTATTCTAGTCTTCTGAATAGTTATGTAAGTCAAGAATAGCCCTACTCATCCAGGAGCACATCGATCTGGGGATCAAATATGACCCTAGCATTGGTATCTATGGCCTGGACTTCTATGTGGTGCTGGGTAGGCCAGGTTTCAGCATCGCAGACAAGAAGCACAGGATAGGCTGCACTGGGGCCAAACACAGAATCAGCAAAGAGGAGGCCATGCGCTGGTTCCAGCAGAAGTATGATGGGATCATCCTTCCTGGCAAATAAATTCCCATTTCTATCCAAAAGGCCAATAAAAACTTTTCAGTGAAATGTAAAAAAAAAAAAAAAAGAATTGCCCTGCTCAACTAAAACAAACAAACATAATATTGAAACAAAAAAACAGGGAAGACTAAACTCCATTCTAAATCAAGTAAATAAAATAAAAAATGAAATAAACCAAGTATATGTATCTATTGATGTAAAATAGTTTTGTTTATAATAAAATTTTAAATTATAAATTTAATACATATGCAGGAAAATTCACTACATTATTATTACTATACAATAATTTTTACTGCATAATTCTTCTCAACATTCAAGAAATAAAATGATTCTAATCTGGCACAGAGTCCTCTGGAGAAAAGAAAAAGAAACACTCTCCAATTCATTTTAAGAGCTTAGCAAACAGCAAACACTCTCCAATTCATTTTAAGAGCTCAGATTCCAAAACCTGAGAAAGATATTTGCTACACACAATAGCACAGATAAATCTCTCAAACATAATGTTGAGCAATTATGCAGTTCTCAGAAGAATATGTAGAATAGGTTCCATTTACATGATGCAAAATGGGAGGCAAAATGAAATTATATGTTTTAAGGGGTTATAACAATAGTAAAATCATAATGAAAACCAAGGAACTGTTTATCACAGAAGTTAGGACAGTGGTTAACCCTGGGCTACAGTAAGGAGCTCTGACCAGGACAGATGGAGGAATGCTTTGACAGTGCAACAGAGGTTCTATTTCTTAACCTTGGAAGTGGTTATATTGTCTTAATAATTATTGTCTTAATAATTATTTTTAAATTGAGCATATATGGTTTACATATTCTTCTATATATGTCTCATGATGGAAAATATTTTTTTTTTAAGATTTATTTATTTATTTGAGAGAGAGAACGAGAAAGAGAGAGCATGAGCAGGGCGAGGGACAGAGGGAGAAGCAGACTCCCGCGGAGCAGGGAACATGAGATGGGGCTTGATCCCAGGGCCCTGAGGTCATGACCTGAGCCAAAGGCAGATGCTTAACCAGCTGAGCCACCCAGGCGCCCCAACTGAAAATGTTTATAACAGATGAAAAAAAAAAAAGACACTTGGGAATAAAAATTAATTCTCCAAAGAAGACTATTTCTAAAATGTAGTACAAAGAAACATATGGTGTAAATTAATATCTTGCATAGAGCGACTCATCAGTAATATCTTGACTGCGTGGGTAATATTTTCTAATAGCAGCTATTTATTAATTTTCCAGCATGATGTCTAGCTATAACTTTTTTCTAGAATAGTAGTATATAAAGTAGTTATGCTGTGTCCTCAATTCATATGGTTAATATAAACCTTATCGCAAGCAGAAGCAAAGCATTAGCATTGGAAATATTATTCCTGCTGTTTTTAACAGCATTGCCTATTTGACCTTTCAACTATCCTGCTTTAGATTAGAATTGTAAACTCTAACTTGCTATTAGAAAAGTGAATATATTATTGAAGACTAATGGAGATACACACATCTTTGGTCAGTTGTCTAGGTTGAATTTTTCTTCTTGCCTTAATTTAATCAGGATGAATTTCAGATAGATGGAGTCTACTTTTAAAGATGTTCAGATAAGGAAATTAAAATCTTTTATAATTTTCCACTATTACAGTCTATGTGTCTTACCATATCTATGCTTCTGATTTGAGTACTTACTACCCACAATTTTTTATTTGAAAAAGATTCAAGGAGTCTGTGATTAGTGGTTATATTTTACATTATAAAGCTTCAGTATGGCTTTCATAGTTTGCATATCATATTGTCTTTAAAAATCATGCAAGGGTTATATTTAAGAAAAATAGATATACCTGTCAAATTGCTCTAGAGCTGGTATCTTCAAAGTCTTTCCATTATTTTCTGATGAAGGTTTTTTTTGACTTAGAAGTATTAATCTCTGTAATATTGGTGGAAATACACTGAGTCCATATAATGGTACTGATTTGCTATAAAATTTTTATTTCCAGTTCATGTGTTCATGTTATTTCGACAGATTTGTATTTCAAACATATACTTTTCTCCTAAATGAGAACTTCATGTTATAAGGAAGCTGAGTCATGATGTGCATATCCAAATCAGTGGTATCTGCACATCTAGAAGCACCTTCCAGTTTATCTTCCTAAGGAAATAGTGTTCACCATACACACTTCCTTTTATGCTCTTTTGGGAGAGATATCATTAGAATGAAACACCATACTTGTATAAAGAATCTCATTTACCAAACCTTGATTGTAACCTTGGTGTGAGAAGCCTTACTCTACATTAAAATCCTAGTCCACCTTTCGTCTGTCATGTTCTCTTTGGCAAATTACTTTCAGTACAAAGGTATTCTTTAACTTGCTACATGGATCCTTCATGAAATGGTTTTGGTTTGTTACTCTAACCTCATCTCTTGCCATTTGACCATATGAAATAACTCTCCTGTTCTGAAGAACTTTGCAGTCATCTTGCTGTTTTAGGGTCAGGCTTGTATAAAAGTTGGGAATCATACTTAAGCATTCTTAAACTTAACCGCCCCCCCCCCGCCCCCCGCCAATTATTCTGGGCGATCAGAAAGATGTGAGATTTGGGCCTAGTCATATGCTATGCTTAGTAGCTGAAATCTTCCCTATCTGCCTTAGTTGATTAGTTATTCCTATTCTTCTCCCCTCCACACACAAATTTGCTAAAAACTTTGCCTGAAGGTAATCTGTCCTGTGTAGATCTTAAACAATGGGGGTGGAGGGGTCTGTATTTTCCTTTGTGGTCTTATCAGTACACCAAAGTGCTTTGTATATTTCTTCCATTATGTCTTACACTTCGCTACAGTTGTTGATCTACTTGTTCATTGGGAAGCATCATTATTTCTAATTTTACTTTGTATTATTAGAACCTACTTCAGTGCTTGCTACATGGTAACCTGTCCATAAGTGTGTATTGAATGAATGTGTTAAATTAACTAACATACTGAATACAAATGAAGTCCAACACAGACTTAGGAATCATACTTGTTTATCACCTATGAAGTGGTATAAGTAAAGGAAATATTAAATGCTAGAGATATTATCTTTTCTGTTAGCTATAACACATCTCTAATAGTAGAAGGTAAGGTATAATATTGTAATTTATTTTTTTCTTCAAACACAGATATTTATTAACAGTCTAATATCTTTTAGTTAATTTAAATTAGTATAAGCCGTATGGCAAGTTTGCTTGGTAAGGAGCAAAAAGAACTGAACAAATTGAAAATAATAGAAATGTGTGTCTGCTGGATTACAGTTGATTATGCTTTCAAAGTGTAAGTGTGTGTGCTTTTGCATATGTACCATAGACATTTCGGAGATGTGCTGGGGTGAATGTGTTGTTAGAGGAGAGTAAATATCAAATTTGATAATGCCAAAGTTTTCCTCAGCCAACTGAAATTTCATAAATTTATTCTGATATCAGGCCAAATACTTTAAAAGTGACATTTATTCCATGATCTGTAGGAACTCTGACTATATATGTAGATGAAGTCTTTATTTAATGCAAATCTTATTGAGATATAACATCTGCCTCCCCAAATACATGTAAGTGTACATCTCAAGGTATTTTTACAAAAGTGAACTCATATAACCAGCATCCAGATAAAGAAGAAAGAGAATATTAACAGGAAGCCCCTTCCTCTTTCTTTTTAGTTATTCCTTTCACCAATTCCTTTCCTACCCTGTACGAAGGAGAACCTCTTCTTGATTTCTAATATCATGGATTAGTTTGACCTGTCTTTGAACTTTGTGTATTGGAGTCATTCACTTTTTTTGGGTGGGGGGAAAAGGAGTCAGCATTCTTTCATTCAAGGTTGTGTTTGTGAGGTTTATTCCTGTTGCATTTAATTTTAGTTCAGTCATTGCTATATTGTATTTTATTGTACGAAAACATCAACTGTTTTACATTTTCTATTATAGATGAAAATTTGGATTGTTTCACATTTGGGATTATTACAAATACTGATGCCCTAAACATTTGTGTTCATGTCTTTTGGTAAATATATGTTCACTTTTCTGTTGGATATATACCTAAAAGCAGAATTTTCTGGGTCATAGAGTTTGCATATATTCATCTTTAATAGTGTCTATCAAAGAATTTTCCAAAGTGATTATGCCAATTTATACTTCATCTAGGTGAGAGTTAATTAAGCTACCTTTTCTTTTCTTTTAGCATAGATGTTCCAGAGGGAAATTTCAAATCTAATACCCTTAATTAAAAACTGTTCATTGTTTCTTTAGTTTAAGAATCTATAAAATATCTTAGTATATTTTTCTTATAAGATACATGTTAAAAATCTGTTAATATTATTTGTTGGAATATAGACATAATATAGACATGTAAAATTTTAAAAAATTATAAAACACAATGATAGAGGAATATTTTTCTCCAAGTATGACTAAGACAATTATATTCTGATGATCTATGTGCTACAAGTCTCTGCCATATACCAATGCTGTCATTTGTTGTGAATAGATACAACTTAGTACAGCTTTTTAACTTAGTTTCTTTTAAAATCTTGTCACTATAAACTCTGAAGCTATTTATTCCACATTAAATAAAATAGGGAGTCAGATTGCATTAATGCTAGATTCTTGGCTACCTGGCTTACTTGCTGTGTCACACATAAAACCTTTAAGAAGCTTCTACTTTAACACTAAGAGAAAGACTTGAATAATTCTTTTTATTAATTATTTGATGTTTGACATGTTACAATTCGTAAATTTAAGGTATAAATCCAGTTACTTTGATACATTTATATGTTGTAATATGATTGCCATTGAAGCAATATTTATCATATTACATCATTATAGTATAGTATTACTGTATTCATTATACTGTGCATTAGATCTGTATGGCTTACTTACTACTCATTACAAAAGTTTGCACCCTTACACACAATCAGTCTATCTCTCCATCCCCCCAAACCCCCAGTATCTACTATTTTAGTGCTTGTTTTTTCTTTTTTTATGGGTTTGATGTTTTTTTAGATACCACATAAAAGTGGAATCATATGGTATTTGT